CTCTCCCCACCCTCTGTACCTTATCACATCTGTCTGAAACACAAATCATTGTAAATAGTTAAAGGCGAGCAAAACCATAGCATCATCACAATGTTATACAAGAAAGCAAAAATGTTTATGTGAAAGATTTCATGATAAGCCTTGTCATCTAAGTAACCTATATTTCTCCATCTTTTCTCTGCAGCTGTGTTATGCATTAGCACAAACAAAATCAAAGGTAAAAATTTGGCACTACACAGCAGAGAAATGTTTTTGACCATTTTCGTTGTTGCAAGTAAATACTGAAGCAGTAATTTTCACTAGCTCGCTCATCTTCAAAAGTGAAATTCTTTCCAGCAACTCAGTTATGCTCTAACCCAGAACTTTCTAAAAATTGAAAACACATATACCAGGTGTTATATAAAATACATTCATTACACAATAAACCACAAACATTTTAATCTGTGATAATACTCCAGTGAAGTCCCAAGAGTCAAATAAATAACCAGAAGATGAACATTCTTCTACCGAAACGTATTTTCTTCTCGGACCTCCAGAAAACATAACAGCACAAAGTTACAGTCTCTTTCAGGCACGGCCAAAATCGTTTAAGTCTAATGTTTGGGGTCATCCTAACAGGCCCAATCTGTTCTGCGTGGAATGTCAGGTGATGTCAAAGCTGACCATGTCTTGAGAAGCAGGGGTGGCAGCTCATACACTGAGACCCACATTAGGTGAAAGACATGGAAGCCAGACAAACAAGTAGAACTTGTGCACAGTGGGGTGCCTGATTAAACGCGAGCTGAAATATTCACCTCCCGTGATAACAGCCTAAACTCAAGCGTGTTCAGAAGTTGGGAATGTTATTTCTCAACTTTTTAGACAGCAATCATTTAGCTGCTGTACTTTGAAAAATAATTTTACAAGAATGCATGGGGACATTTCAAGCATTTAACTTCTCTCAGGAATCTTCAGGGAAAAAAAATGAAAGTGCTCTCCCTGCAGGTAAATATCCTTTCCCCATCTTGGCACAGCCTTGCCCATGTGGCACAGAAGACAAATGAGGACCTCCCAGCCCAGGCACTGCCAGCACTGCAGGATCTGCCCTGGTAGCACCACATCTACCAGTAGCTCTGCTCATAGTGCACACACTGGATCGTGACCCAAAATTGCTTGACAGCAGCAAAACCTCGTGTGCTCTCCATTATGCTTACTTCGCTTGAGAAATATAAGTAGGCTAAATTCCAAAATGGTAGTGTGTGTATATGTACATGCACTTCTTACAATGCAGCACATTACAAAAAATTACTGCTTTTAAAAAAGAAAAGTTATTGGCAAATTATGATTCTGAGTGTGATTGTTCCAGGACTTCTCCAAATTCCTTCCAAGGGCTGTAAGCAGGTGACTGTGGCTCTGTGCTGCTGCACTTCTCACTAGCACGTGGTATATCACACAATATATATTATGCTGCACAAGAGGAACAATTAATCTCTTCCTAAAGACATGTGAGCCTTTTGTGAATGACCTTTCATTAAACTTTAAATTCTAAATTACCAAGGTCACCATTGCTCACAGAAAAGGTAATCTGGGCTAAAAATTATTACACTGAGAAGGACTTTATCTATTTGCACACATACTTAACTGCTCAGTTACTTTTAAGATCTCTTTCAGCAAATTAGTAACTTGAGAGGCTTTCTGAGGATTTTCTTCCTTGAAACAAAAATTTTCCTAAATGCCAACCTGTCAGAATTGCAGCTTTGGAGATGCCATGGGTGACATAAAACCCAACTTTGGAAATTTCTATAGTCCTGGTAATGTTTTTTGTTTCTTCATTCATGTTTGAGAAGGCACTTCTACATCTAGACACTCTGATGAAATCTAAGCATGAATAAGATTCAAATAACAGGCCTTCATGATCTTTATAAAGTTCCAAGATTATCACCCAGATCCAAACTAAAATGTACCTGTTGTATTCCCTATCACACAGAGTATTTCAGCATCTCCAGTATTCTAAGTTCTGATGCCTGCTCACAAAGAACAGAAATTTCAATATTTTCACTCCAATTTCAACGACGCCAAAGAACCCAAACAGAAGCCAGTAACAGCACTTCCATTAAAGACATGCTGAAGTTGGCTAGGTGACATTGTGTTGCCCCATTACAGTTAAAGGGATCTTAAATTCTACCACTTGCACATCTATGTTGATCTCTTACAAAAATAACAATGGTGTTTAAACTCCCTTTCCCCCATAAGCCATTAAGTGAGTGCAACTTTGAATCTAATCTAGGTCTAAAGTGGGATCCTTTAGTGCACGCTCCCGTTTACGTGACAAGCCAGCCTCCAGCACCAGGAGTATCAGATGCTTGCAGCATCCATGACACTTGTAAGCATTCAGTGGTCAGAACACCACTACATATCCTTCAAATGACATGGACCAGTGAAGCTGGAAGGTATCTCCACTGAACCAAGCAGCTGGTATCGCAGCAATCCGCCAGGACATGAGCCCCAGCATGCCCCAGGCGGCACACAGTGGCTAACTCACAACTCCGTGCTGGGTTTGCATTCTGAAAGTCAGCAGCTCTGAATATTGAAATGCAGAAGGGACACAGCAGCTGGAACAGCAGCCTCTCAGAATCACTCTGCCCTGCAAAACACTGGTGTTTGCCTTTAGTTGTGGGGGTTTAGGAGTGAGATCGATCAGACAGCAAGGTGATGAGCATGACAAAACGCTAACAGAGCAGCTAGCAGAGTAATGAGAGAAGGCGAGCATTCCTGAACTTAAATCACCAGGGTACCTCTCAGAGATACAAAGAACCCTCTGCACTTTTTTTCTGAAGTATTTAGCAATGTATTATCTCTTCTTGCTACTGTTAAGTCATTAACTAGCCTCTTAGTTAGAAGGCTGCATAATACGAGCGTGCTCCGATTCCTGCACTACTGTGTCAGTGTACCTGGAGGAAGGCATTATCTTCCTGGTTTTGAATGAGATCAGGTCTGAACACATTTCAAAAGGAAAGACAAAACAGCCTTTCATTTCGGGTGTATTTACTCTTCATTAAACTCCGTGCTGTGCTTCCAGTTCCCAAAACCGACCTCACATTGTCAACCTTTGGCATTGTGATTCATCGCATTATTCAAAGAACATAACCATCATGTCACAGCTACAGAGAGGGTGAAGGCGCAAGTTTGCAGGCGCAGTATGGAAATCACCTTAGCATCACCAGTATCGAGGTGCACATGAACAACACTAAATTATAAAAGTAATTCGCCAGATTTAGGGCTGGGTGTTGTTATGCTCTGAAGACTCACCTCCTTGCTAAAAACCGGATACACAATCCAACTTGTGGCCCAGAGCGGGTCATTACAGCAGGCTGCCACCGCGTGACCCCACGCTCACACTCCGGCCCCACAGCTTCAGCACGACGGCAGCTCCTCCAGCGGGAGCCCCAGCGGGGAGGGGTCGCGCCACGGTCCGCAGCCCCGTCCCGCCGGGAGCCCCGCAGCCGGGAGGCCTCTCCCGGCCCGGCACCGCCTCGCGCCCCGCGGGGACCCCCTCGGGCCCGGCCCCCTCACCTGCTGGCCAGGCTCTGCCGGCAGTGCTGCCTGAAGGGCATCAGGTGGTAGTTCATGGCGTCCAGCAGCAGCTTTTGGCACACGGGGTCGGTGCGCATGAAATCTACCGACTGCACCCGCTCCACCAGCTCCGGCGCCGGGATGAGGGCGAAGCGGAGGCGCTTCATCAGGTCCGGGGCGTACTGCATGCGGGTCTCCCGGTCGTGCTCCAGCCAGAGCACGGACATCTGGAAGAGGGCCAGCTCCGACTCGACGGGGGGGGGCAGCGAGTCGAGCAGGGCGCGCATCTCCTCGAAGTTGAGCAGCAGCACGTCTTCCACCAGGTACTTGTTGGCCAGCTTCTTGGTCTCCTCCAGGCCGTGCAGCGCGGCGATCTTGCACACCTGCTTGTAGTTCTGCACCGAGATCTGGTCGTTGAGGAACTGCACGCACAGCTTGGTGACCTGCGGGATGTGCAGAATCTTGCTGACCGACAGCACCTCCTCCACCGTGTCCAGCGAGAGGGTGACGTTAGCCGTGTAGAGGTACTCCAGCACCAGGCGCAGCCCGATGGACGAGCAGCCCTGCAGCACCAGGTTGTTGATGGCCCGCGGGCTGGCCAGCAGCTTGTCCTCGGGGGAGGAGGACGGCGTGCCCGGCTCCTCCTGCGGCGGCGGCGGCGGCTCCTTCGGGGGGGCTCCCCCGAGCCCGTCCTGGGCGCCGGGCCCCAGCCCCAGGGCGTGGGGGTGGCCGCCGCCGCTGGAAAAGAGGGATCGGAAGTATTGGGAGCAGGAGGCCAGCACAGCCTTGTGGCAGTGGAACTGCTGGCCCTGGGCCGTCAGGGTGACGTCGCAGAAGAGCTGCTTCCTCCACAGCAGGTTGAGGCCGTGCAGCAGGTTGTCGCTGTGGCTGGGGTCGAAGGTGGAGGTCCTGTCCCCGGATCTGGACATGGCGAGCGGCCTCGGGCGCACCTGCCTTTAAACCCTCCTCCGACCTGGGCAGAGGGTGGGGAGGAGAGGGGTGGGGAGGGGGTCGGGGCGGGGGGAACACAACAACAAACAGCTTTAGAGGCCTGCGGGACGCACGGCGGCGGGCGGGCAGCAGCAACTTGGGAGGGCTGGAGGGGGGTCGGGCTGGGGGCTGCCCCCGTGCTCCATACACACGCACACACACACAGCACCCTTTTCTCCTCCCACCTCCCTGCACGCCGGGCTGCTCTCCAGGGGAGGAGCGAGGAAGCGTAACGTTTTCAAAGCTGAACCCCCCCCCTTCCTCCGCCAAAAAAAAAAAAAAAAAAGCAACAAAAACCCACCACCATCAAAAGCCCAAACGCAACACACACACACGGCACAGTCGTCGTCGTCGTCCCCCCCCCAACACTCCCCCAGGCTTCTCTCTGTGCCAGGAGTAACTGCCAAGTGGCCGGAACTCCGCCGGGAAGGCGGGCAGCCCCGCCGCCCCCCGCCCCGGCAACTCCGCAGCGCCCGGAGCCGCTCCATCCCCGGGCCGAGCCCCCGCTCCGCTCCAGCGGGGAGCTGCGGTGCTCCGCGCCCCGTGGAAAGAGGAGGAGGAGAAGACTGCAGCCCCGGGCCGGCGCGAGGCCTCCCGCCTGTCCTGCCCGCCGGCCGCCGCCGTAACTCCGGTAACTACGGGAAGTTCAAGTTGGGGGAAGCACGGGGGGGCCCCGCTCCCCGCAGCCCCGAGCCGTGACCGCACCTGCGGGGACTGCGCAGCCACCAACTCGCGCCGGCCGCATCCCGCTCTTCCTCTTCCTCTTCCTCCTCCTCCTCCTCCTCAGCGGGATCCCGCCGAACCCCGTTCCTGCCATTGCAGCGCGCTCGCTCGCTCCCCGCCAGCGCCGGGCTGCCCGTGCCCGCCTGGCCCCCCCCGCCCCATCGATCGGCGCAGCCGGGGCTCCCCTCGGCTCTGCCCCTGCCCGGCACCGCGCAGCCCCGCTGCCGGCTCCGGAAAGCTCCCGGAGCCTCTCCCTTTAAGCGGACCCGGTCAGTCCCCCCTCCCCAGCGCACACACAGACATACATGCACACACGCACATACATAGACACACACACACACACTCCTCCTCTTTCTCCCTCCCCTTCTTTCTTTCTCGTTTTGCCCATTTCTTGCAACCGGAGTTTATTCTGCCAACGCGTTTGTTACACAACTGGGGGGCCCCCCCCCCCCCCGCGCACACTTCCAGCACACACACACACACCCCGGCAACAAACACATCGGGAGACGGAGAAAATGCGCCGAGACGGGGAGGCACAAGGCCAGAAACTTACCTGCTCCACGACCGGCTGCCAAAGTAAAGGTTCACTTAAGCTCCCCCCCAAAAAATCAATTGTCCTTCCTTTTTAAAGGTTTGCTCGCTCCTTCAAAAAAAAAAAAAAAAAAAAAAAAAAAAAAAAAAGAAAAAAAAAAGAGGGAGAGAAAAGAAAGAAAGAAAAAAAAAACCTTCTGGTTTCCAACTCGGAGCAGTCACTCTTTACAATTTATTTTGTCGTACATCATTTGATCACCATGAATTAGCAACAGCAAGAAAATGTACGAGAGAGAGAGAAGGGGAGAGAGAGAAAGAGAGAGAGAGAGAGCGCAGAGCTTTCTGCAAGAGAAGAAGAAGAAAAAATGTACGTGTGACAAATTATGCTACCAAGAAACAACACATCATTATCCTTGGGCCTGGGGCTCAGTGAGTCGTAACGAGAGTAATAGGAAATCCACGGTTGGGGAGAGAAACGGTCGTGCATGGCCAGTGGAGAGAGACCATACAGGGGGATGGATGCTGGAGAGACTCGCAAAATTATGGCTCAAGGCTATTGTAAAAATTGTCGAGCGTAAATGACTGCGATTTCAAACATCTTTGGAAGAAAGAAGGGGAAAAAGCGAGCGCCGGCCCCCCCCCCCCTCGCTGCTTCCCTCCCTCCCGCTCTCCCTCTCTCTTCTCTCTCTCTATAAAGAACCGTCAAGTTTTAGTGCGCATTGCTAATTAGTCAATTTCTCTCTGCCTTCACAGGCTGGCGACTTTGCTGCTGAGCTGAAACTGCTAATTTCTGTGACCAGCTTTTTTCTTAGCTGTGATCTGGATGAATGAGTAGCTGTCTCACAGAGATGACAAAAATAAACTCTAATCCCCCCAAAAATTTCCACTACATCTTTCTCATGCATAGATTTATGATCTTCAAGTACCCTGTGCAATATGCAAACTTTTTGTGTGTATGTGTGTGTGTGCTGCTGCTGGGGGGGCAGGCTGTTGTACTCAGGTTGCACAGGGTTTGGTTTGTTTTTCTGCTCCCCCCCCCCCCACCCCGGATGTGATGGAAATAATGTCTAATTTCAGTACCTGATATATTGCCCCCTCCACCCCCCAGTATTTATATTATTGCTCTGATGAGATGTGTTCTCCTTTCTAGCAACCAGGGTGAGCCTGAAGGGGCGGAGGGTATAGAGAGAAAGTGAGGCTCCTACATGATGTTAGTGGCAAAACGTTCCCTTTCCATTTGTTCCCCTGCACTGTTCAAGATTTATGATCTTGTTTGAAGACATATTTTCTCTATTGTTTTGTCTGGTTAGACAACCGTCTCTGAACTTCACTGTCAGCTCTTCAACAGATAAGGGTTCAGAAGTCGCTTCTTTTTTTATTGGAAGATTAGCATATTGTCAGATTTGTCTTTCAGTTTCGAGACTTTGCAATGCAGAAGCCCGAATCAAATGGTAGGAAAGCAGCTGCTATTTCACGAATGTAACCTTTCCACTTTCTGCCAGATCTGATACCCTGAAACATGTGCAGCCCATGATTTTTTGCTCCTTTGTTGCTGGAACAAGCAGAGGGATTTCTCATGGTAGACATCTGGGGCTTTTTCTTTCCACGAAGGGGCGTTTTGGTACAGGGCATGTTCTCCAGACTTTATCTCATGATGTATTGCACCCTCACATGTATAGCTGTGTTCCTCTGTTGTCAAACCTGCAATTGTCAAAAAAAAAAAAAAAAAAAAAAAAAAAAAAAAGAGGGAAAAACAAAAAAGGGGAAAAAATGAAAGGTGGGACGTGTGCCCTTGAAAGAATTGCACATGAAGGGAGGCTGGAATGAGCACTTAAGGGAAGTTTCACTTGATGTGAAATCCATAAGATCCATCCTATTTCCCAGATAATACGCTTTTGTCACTGAGATACACTCCAAGAGTGGGACTTGGAAAGCCAGCTCTCATGGTCTTCCTCTTTGGCTTGGCCAAGGATGCCAGTGCATTGACATAGTTGGAGTCAGATTGCGCAGGGATGCAAAGGAATGGAACTGAAAGGCATTGTGACGGGTTTCATTTTTATTTACTTTCTGGTGACTTTAAAAAAGAAGTTCTGCCACAATTTGCCATTTTGCATCACCAGACAGCTCCTGGCTTCCTCCTTTGTATGTCAGTTCTTTCTGCAAAACATTTCCAAGAGAAATTAGATAGCTGGTGTTTTAGGGCATAGTATTCTTTCTGAAAGAATGACACTACTTTAATGCTTCTGCTAAAACCATTTTTTGTTGTTTTGTCCCTGCTGTGCCTCCCCTTCCTTCCAACTGTGCTGTTGGACACCCAGATTTGGCCCCACACAGGTGAGTGAATTATAAGATGCTTCTATTCCAATAATAGCTAGTGTTTCTAGTAGTCATAGAATCACAGAATCATTAAGGTTGGAAAAGAGTTCTAAGATTCCCTAGTCCAACCATCAGCCATCCCCACCATGCCCACTAACCATGTCTCTCAGTGCTGCATTGATACGGTTCTTGAACATCTCATGGGATGGTGACTCCACCACCTCCCTGAGCAGCCTGTGCCACTGCCTCACCACTCCTGTGAATATTTTTTTTCCTAATATTTAACGTGAACATCCCCTGGCATAGCTTGAGGCCATTACCTCTTGTCACAGTTACCTGAACCCAACCCCATCCATGCCAGGTATCTCCCAGCTGTAGTAGAAAGGAAGATCAATTCTTATATCATGCTTATACTGCTGAACTCTGCTGCTGGGATGTCTATAAATAACCCTCAGGGCATTTTGTATCAGTTTTCAGTGAGTGATATGTTGCATGTTGCCCACTCTCACACCATTGAAAGCTGCTATATATGTCTATGCCAACATGTGGCAAGTGTCTGAGAACAGCATATTAGTGTGTCCTTATCATTAGTGAAAAGACTTGATTAATTTTTGTTTAACTTTGGTATACTAACTGAAGTTAGGATAAAGTTCACTGCTACTTATTTATGTGATTTGTGGTCACTATTGAATTACAAATTTTTAACTTTCTGCCTTGAAGCTTTCTGAATTAAATCACATTGAACAAACATTCTCAAAACTCCTGAGTAGGTTGTTTTCTAAATGGACTTGAGCTCTTCTGAAGGAAGAGTTCAAAGCTCCTAGCTCACTTGGGTGCTTTTCAAAGTTCTGCATATTATGGCTGCAAAGTAGAAGATTAAAGTTCACCTCTTACACGCAGCAGCAGCTAGCAGAAAATACTGTGTTTTCTTTCTTCTGTGATTACTCCAGTCCCACATCGTGTAAAATTATCCATTTCTTCTATCAAGCAAAACTACATATACTTGCCACGTGGTTTAAGCAGGACTTTGTGTCTCTACTTTATAAGCTTAACAGCATTTCAGACTTGAGAGAAACTAAGGGAGCATCTCCCCTGAGGCAATGGACACATGCTAAGTCCTGAGCCTTCCTTACTGTAGCTGTGAGGTCCTATTCTTAAGCAGGATTCCCACAGACTGGAGGGCGATACCCCTTGTTTTCATATTTCGAAAGTCAGTTGTGAGCAGGAGTCGTGCTTTTGTTTTCCCCCCACTCATCACCTCCCTTCAATGCATGCGCCTCAGTTTGCTAAAGTCTCATTGCAGAGGCTTGTATCAGGATGGGCAGCCCCACAAGGGGAACTGAATCATGCTGTGTTCTCAAGGAAGAGGTCCTCATGCAGAGGCTTTCATCAAGAGAATGTAAGGCATTGTCTTTAAAATCCAAGGGAAAATAGTAAAGAAGTGAGCAACACTTTTCAGTAAGAGTAATTAGAAAGAAAAAAAAGAGAAGTTTTGAAACGCTCTATAATATCTGTGCTTTAAATATGAAGTGTATCTCCTCAAATGATGTGGTCTGGGAGATTTTTTGCATATTTTTTGTTTGTAATATACATTGACATTGATACTCCAGCACAGCTCCAAAATTATCAAGTTATCTGCATAGGATCTTAATCACTAAATGCGAAAATAAGAGTCAGTTCTGAACACTTGCCCTTTGTCATTGAGACAGCATCTGAGCATGCAATCCCAACTGTAGTGCAAGTATTTCACAAGTAGACAAGCCACAGCAGTCCTGGGTGTTATCAATAACATTGCTCCTGCCAAAAATTGTTGTACACTGTGAAGTTTCTTATGTGGAAGTTTATAAGGTTGCTCTTCTGAAGGTAGGCCTGACATCACAGCAGCACGTCCTATTTACAGACAAACCCACTTAATCCATAGCATATTTAGGAACAGGGCAGGAGGAGAAGCTTGGGCTGATGTTAGAGCTCTCAAATCCATATGTTTGAATTCTCACACTGACACAGAGGTGGCCAACTCCCACGGGTACCTTGTTTCTTCCTGAGTGGTCTTCTCCCTGAAAACAAAGGCTGGGAGGGAGAGCGTCCTAAAATCAGATGCTGTCCTGAGTCTGGTAATATACATGTAACAACCCTGACCCAGGTGCGTCCTGTAGTATCTCTGTGCTTCAGTTAATAAATGCTAAAAAGGATTTTCATTAGTGCAGTCCAAGGCTCCCCCAGCTTGTAGTCTGCCTCCCCTACTGAGCTCATCTGCCCAGCTCCACCCCCAGCTGGGGCTTTGAGTGTTTCCCGTTCCACCCGCTATGCCAGTGGCTGCAGCAGCTGTGTGGCTCTGAAGGCTGGCACAACTGGCCCCAGAGGTGTCACGGGCATTCTGATCACCTGTGTTGTGTCGTGGTTAATCTGTGCTTGCCCAGTGCTTTGAGATTCCTCCAGGGATGCTGACTGTATTTATGCATGCAACCATGTCCTGAAGCATTGTTTCCATATCTGAATGCATGCAGAGAATTTTGTCTGTAGCAGTGTCATATCACCAGTAGGTATTCAGGCTTTTGCCCTGCTTGTCCAAAGTTCTGGTGAAGAAGATGTGGGAGATGATAAACAGGAGTGATCACAAGAACACTGAAAGACAAAGCATTCTTCTTCCTACCCCTGTCCCCAGATAGGCGACAGAGTAAATCACATTAAAAAAAAAAAAAAAAATTCAGCGCAATGCTGTGCAATCGAAAAGACATGAATAAAGTTTGTAGCAAACCGGTAGCTTCTGAAAAATCAGACTATAAGGTATTGCCTCTGAAAGAGTTATTAAAATAACTTTGGGGAGGCAGAACTCACAACTGTTAAAAGAAGCAGCTAAGCTTGGGGAAATTGCAATCTAAAAGCAAGGTGGATTAAGCAAATCCTTCTATACAGAACCATGCTACAAGTAGGAACCCTCTAACCATCACTCGGAAGAGCTTACGCTCTGGGACTTGATATTCAGGCACATAATATGAGCATTAGTGATTGTGTCTGCACCATGGTCCAAATTAAAGAATATTCTCTTTTGCTTAAGTCCATTTCTGTTCAGGAAAGCATTTAAGCATTTGTCAAAGCATATACTTAAGTTCTCTCTTGAAAGGGGATGATTATTTCCCATCCTGATGCATGCAGGACTCACTGCAAACAGGGAAGAGGATGCACTGGTGGCCACTGGTACCATGACTGCTCCAAAGTCATGGCCAGGCTTTGTAAGGAGGTGGGATGTTTCTTCTTCCCAGACGCTGATTTCGTGGGGCAGCATTTTTGGGAAACAGTCGGAAAAGGCAAGCTTCAGAGTCACAGAAGTCGGTTGGATTGCAGTGCCTAGATTTAGAGCTTGTTTTTGTACTGATCTAATTCATAATCCACAGGTTTGACATGGCTCTCACAAGCCCCAGAGGAGCACTAACCATTTTTGAGGGAGAGAAGAGTTGCAAAGAATTTTTAATTCTCTTTCAAGAAAGTCTGCTGACAAAGACTTCTGTTCACCACCACTACTAAGTGCTCTGTGGATGGAAATCTTCCCACAGTGCTTCTTTTCCAATGCCCAAGACTGAATCCTCCTAGCATGTGGCATAGACGAAGGTGGTGGGGAAGTAATGATTTAAAATAAAATGCAGCTTTGACTTTAACTACCAAGATATTTCTTCATTGGAAAGATTTTTAGAAGCAAAATAAACAAAAGCATTAAAAAAAAAAAAAAAAGAAAAAAAAAAAAGTAAAGGAAATGCAACTTGAGGTTTGCAGTCTCCCCTTGCTTTACCCCACAGGGCTCTGCCTAAATGAAATGGTCTTATGCTGCTGCATAAGAAGGAGATTTCTCCATATTGATGATGTATCATCACTTTCTCAGTAACCAGAGCTATTCACCATTGTGAGACAGTCAATGTTGTTTTCTCCCTGTACTCCTCCCCTGTACTCTGAAATGTGTTTTTAGAGTCAGAAACTGCTTGCTGAAGTTAGTTAGTTTGCTGAGAGAAAAAGCGAAGCAAAACCTGGAGACAGGACTATATGAGATTAAAACCAGGTAATCTTTAACTTCATGTGGCCATTGAAGGTCAAATGTTCTTCTCCTAACTGGAGCTGACCCTCTCTAGTTAGGCACTGTGCTTTGGGTGAACTCCAGCAGCAGCTGAGGCCTACCCCCACCAGCTACCAGGTACACAGGGATCTCTTTCTTCTCTCCACTGTGAAACAGCAATCCAAGGCAGGCGTACAACTGTGCAAACCTGTTTTCTCATCAGGCGAGACATAACTTCTGTGGCAGATACTCTACCTGTAGAGAAAATGAGAGCAGGAAAATAATCCCTTTCCTTTGCTGGAGAGTTTCTCTGCCACTCAGAACAGTGGGCAGTTGTGCCTGGCCTCCTGGTTCTCATCTGGCCCAGGCAGTAGAAACCCAAAAGAAGTCATCACAGAATGGCTGGCACAGCCCTGCATGTCACCAGCCAGCTGCTTCAGTCCAGCATCTATCTCACATAATAGAAACATCCCTCCATTTGGCGTGAGTGACAATGCCTTGGAATACAAGCAGATCATCTGTGGTCTGCTTTGGCGCAAAGGAAATACCAGCCAGTCACAGCTGGAAGTTGTTCTCCCTCACCTTTTCAGATATTTCCATGATGACAAATGGAGAATGCGATGAAGTCGGTATGAGCTCTGTTTCTGTTCTGCTGGAGAATTAAGAGGAAGCTTTAGTCTTTCCCGTTATCAACAATCAAACTAATTCATGAGCTGTGTATGAGAGGTAAAAATGTAGGCATTAGGGTAGATATCATTAATTCTGAAAAATGAAAGTGAAATAAAGTGCTGCTTGGTGTCAGAGCCCAGTCACTAGAACTTCATCTCATTTTTTTCCTTTGGCTCAAGTTGCCTGGGTGATTTTCAGGTACCTATTGCTCATGAGATAACATCTCCCTGTCTGCCCAGTGCTTTCTATTCATTTACACTGAGGTATAAATAAACATCTCGGGCTGAGAAGTGATCCTGAAGAGAAATGAGAAAGAGATTCCATTTTAACTTCATTCATGTAGCACTCATCAGCAGGAAAAGGTTCATTGCTGTTATAAGGGGATGGTCCTAGTGGACTCAGCGCTCACTCACACAAGCTATGAATCTGGCCAGTAGTCATTTACTGATGATAAAACAGGGAGATAGGCAAAATGAAGAACATCCCTCTGCTAAGAAATTTCTTTCTTTTTTTTTTTTTTAAATTAGATGTATTTTAGCTACAAAAGGCTGTGAAAGTGTTCAAAATAATAAAACTTTAGGATTTCTATTCTCCTTATCTCAAGAATAGCGGTGATGATTTAAAACGAATATGATCAGAAGGAAATTTATGTATTGCACCTTGACTTTGGTTTCAGACCTGAACAGCTTTTAACTGCCAAGCGACAAGCCCTTTAAAACGGGATTAACAGTGGAAATTCTGGCTTTTTTTCAGCTTCCATGGTGATACTATAACATCTGGACTCCTTCACAGCCCTTGGTCCACTGTCAGGAACAGCCAGTGACAGACATCGGGACTAAAGCAACAGCAGTGACCCGAGTTATTTTGGAAGTTACAGCCCAACATATAAGATTTCATGCGGTGGCTCTGATGACAAAAAACAAATTTACCACATGGAATCTCACAACATATTGTGCGGTAACTCAGAAAATAACTTGGGTTACTGTAGCACATACATATATAATACACATTAACGGTATTTATAGACACTGATCTATTAAGTCATTTCCCTACACTACCTTCAGACCTTCTGTATGAAGCTGAAAAGCCATCATTAAAGCTATGGTTTGCCAGACAATTACTTTGTCAAATCTCAAGAAATTGCATAATAAATTGTATACATGCATCAAACATGAACAGCAGAAGGGTATAACAAGCAGAGAATTTCCAGTCCACTTGTTCATTCATCTGAACAGTAGCTTTTGTTTTGAAAAGTAATCCTATATTCTTTTCAAGGCATAAAATGTGCATATACATTTATCTATCAAACTAAGTAGAAATAATTGAAACACTTAATATGCACAGTAATAAAGAAACGCACGAACAGCTTCATTATTAATGTCTATTGATTATTTATGTTTTCAAATAGGCAAATGTAGCTACTAATATTTTATTGTGTTAATCTATATGTGCTTTTTGGCTTTACCTGTTTATTGGCAAATTTACTGTCCACATTATGGGTATTTTTATTGCTGTACACTCATTTGCTACGTGCAAAACTGAGGTCAGTTTACGAACTGACGGTGTTTACTCAGTTTGATTACTATGTAACATTGCTGAGACAATTCCCCCTTTGGAAAATTAACTGTACAAGGAAGCCCTGTAAATCTTTACTTAAAAATTCCAAACTTTAGATTGATTTCAGCAGTGGGTCTGTATTGATCCAAAAAGCTTTGCGTTCCTAACTAAAAACTAATCTTTATTTCACCCTTTAGTGACTGCAGCCATAAATATGTTCACTCGCACTGGAGTTTAGTGGATTAATGGTTATTGGAGATTGTGGCTTCCAACTGAGGCTGGTAAACCTTAACCTTTGGAGGACAACACGAAGGCATTTACCCCTTGTCATCTATAACAGCCAGGTCCATTTCTGACAGTTACCTGAGTGTTAAAGAGGAGACAGAGTAGGGGACGGGAAATAAAGCACCAGAGGCTCACTTTAGCTATTAATCATTTATTAGTCCGACTTCTGTATCTGGACCTGACACTTTTTCTGATGCAAAGTCATTGAAATGAGACAATTTGTTTCATGTATGATACAAGGACTCTAAAATTTCCAAGCATGACAACTAATCTTGTCTCAAAATTAAAAGGTAGAAGCATGATGCCGCCTGTTCCTTTATTTCACAGTGTTTGTAGGAGATGCTTTATGTGATTCAGGACAGGGAATTTTTGAAGGCAGCAGTCAGGAAACATTAAGTTACATTCCACTACAATGACTTATTACCCAAAATATAATTGTACTAATTGTTATAAAAACCATAATTGCATTAATGTTTTAAAGTAAGGTTTATTCTGGAATGTCATGTTCTGAAATAGATGTTAATTAGCACTTAAGTTATGAACAACCCATCCCTGCAAAACTTTAATTCACTCAACTCGGCTTAAGTTACTCAAGAAAGTAATGTGAGGGTAGAAATTATTCCCACAAGTAAGGGCTGAAAGATCTGCCCTAACTTTACATTAAAGAGAATAATGATTATTGAGGACATAAAAAAAAATTATTTCATTAGCTATACAGAGAAGGTTTCACTGGAACATGGAATATACAAAACGGTAGATGTCAAGCGATTATATTAACAGACACATTTCAATATCCATTGTTCCAGAAAATATACTGAGCTTAAAGGAGAGATTTCTTCTGCAAGAGATATTGACTCGAGCCTGCCTAAATTCAAGGGAGAAATTTATTTTCACAAGCAGGTACCATCTTGTGGCAGTCACATTTATTACCATTTGAGATCATAAGGGGTAATTGTGTCAGAAAGGCACAACCAGCACAGGACACCTGGATTCTGGCAATTGATCTTATTTCAAAACCTTTCTTTCCATTTCTAATAAATTCTTTTATTTTTTGCAAATTAAATTCCTGGAAAGGGAGATTGCTTTTGTAATAACATAGGATCACAGTCGCTGGCAGCTGTTTCAAATGTTTCTAGGCAATTTATGTCCCTCGAGACGTTTCTCCAACATCAAGGTAATCAGGGCCAGTGGGATATGATCTGGGAACAATTTGAACAACAGGTTTCCCGTCCTGGACTGAAAAACACAATCATGGGAGATGCGCAGATTGCTTGCTGTGCCCTGACACTCACTCCTAACAAATTTTGCATCTGTTTTCTTTGTTAAACTGAAAGCATTGATTCAAGCGTTTAACCAAAGGTAACAAGTTGCAGGAGTACAGAACATCTGTTAGGTAGAATGTTCCCCTTATTTTACATAGTCACTTGCCTTACATTTTTCTTCCTCTTTACTTCTCTCTGACTCATCCTCTAGTTTCACTCTGGAACAGATTTCACCCAAGTAGGTCGATGAAGTGCAGCTGCACTGCAGGTGGGACTCTGCTTTTGGATGTTCTCACCAAAGAGAGAAACTGGATTTGTGGGGGTCTTCCACCAGCTTGGGCCAATAGCAACAACCATGAGGGCTTTCAAAGATAACCTCAGTTTTATCTTAGAATCATAGAATCATTAAGTTTGGAAAAGACCACTAAGTTCACCAACTCCAACCATCAGCCCATCCCTACCATGTTCACTAACCATGTCTCTCAGTGCCACTTCTCCAAGGTTTTTAACACCTCTGGAGACAGTGACTCCACCACCTCCCTAGGCAGCCTATTTCAATGCCTTACAACTCTTTCTGAGAATAATTTTTTCCTAATATCCAACTGAACCTCCTCTGGCACAACTTAAGGCCATTAGCTCTATTGCCACTATCACTAGTTACACAGGAGAAGGGGCTGACCTCCACCAATAATAACGAAACATCAGCTTTCTTAAATAGATCAGTTTCCAGAAGTCTTTGATGATCTGGACAAAAGTATGTTTCCCCTTTTTCTGCGAATGAAGCCTTAGAAATATGATCTAAGTGGAGAGAGCAGAAAGAATACGAAGTGCTGCTGCTGCAGGAGGACAAAAATCTACTTCTCTCTCCCTGCTGAGTATACCTAGAGATATATACAGGATGGTGGCAGTTAAGAGTGGTCTGAAATGTGTAGGTTGTTAGCAGTCCCTAAAAACTTTGTGCCACATAAATAAGGTTGTGACAATTGCAGATGTCTTTTGATTGCAGTTGGAGTGGAGACAAGAAGGAAAAATTCCTGTTTGTGACAAAACTCTAAGGCTCATCTCTCTAGTTAACATTTCCAGCCCTTTCTGAATACACACTGGTGATGTTGCAGGAAGGAGAATAAAAGTGGTCATTTTCATCCCCTATGAAACAAGAAAAACATGTACTGCTCAGCACACAACAGAAGGTCTTTATGGCATTTAGGAGATACTTTTATCCGTCTGTGTGGAACTGTCAACCTGAGAAACAGAAGGAAAAATGAGTCTGCCTCTAACTGCCTGTCATGATGGCAGAACAGACCTGGTACTTATCTGAGCCACTGCTGAAGAATCAACATCTACTGGAGAACTCAGTGCCACAGGGGTCAATGGGGCAATGGGGACAAGAGATCACCCAACTCTCTTCTACTCAGTCAGTTTTGAAAAAAACCCACTGGGTGAGGAGATCAACTATGAATGCTACCAGGCTAGGATGAGGAAGTGTGATAGGTCAGTGAGATAATGGTTCAACACAGGGGAAATAGGAGGTGATGAGGGGAGATATGGAACTGAAAAGTTCAATTTTTCTGCTGTACCTTAGGTTGGCAGTCTCACACAAGCAGATGAAGGTATCCCAAATGTCATAAAAACCTTCTGTCTTGTGCATGGTAGTCAATGTCTGTAGCATTGGGATGGTTTTTTTTTTTGTTTTTTTTTTTTTTTTTTGAGAAAGACATTCCCAGAGAGCATCACAGACATCACTTGGTGAAGGAGAAAATACTTTTGTGAATCCTTCTTAAACTTGTGGAAGCTCCTTACCACCTGCCACTGGGCTGAGATCAAAGTAGGTCCACCTTGGCTAAGACTGCTACTCTCCTCTGAGAATGCCAAGCTGCACAGAATATTGTAGAAAAAATACAAAGAAATTTCAAATGACCACATCATTTGACACAGCAGTAAATATGTCATAAGGACTTTTTATCATGTGAATTTGTGCAAGCTGGGCAGTAAGAAAATAGAGTTGATCAACAGGAATAGCTGGTTTAAAGCTAATATGATCTATTGAGTCACAAATCCTCTTTTTTGCAGTGTTTAAATAAGGATTCACATGGTAGACCATAACAACTCCAAATGCACCATTTATGTTTAGCATGTAAATAATGATGAGTTTTCAAATTAGACTGCAGATCAAAATAGCATACTAGCTATTCAAATGGCTTCTTGGTTCAGAAATTCACTTTTTTAATAGTTAAAAAATAAGAACTGTTTAGACTGTGAGCTGACATTATGTAAACCCATGTGACTAATGTGTGCATATGAGTGGTCCTGCTGAACTCTGTAGGTTCATTTGGTTGCATAAAGTTACTTGTGGTTCTATGTATCTGCAGGAGAGGTGTCCAAGTAAGCTTCCCAGTCTTCTTTCTCTTGTCAACTTCCAAGAACCCTGCTAGATGATGATAAGATCTTATTAACATACACTATTTGCTGCTAGAGAAGTAATTTCTGTGTCCAGAGCATGTGCCATGTTACCGTTAGTTTGCTGGCTGTGCTACCTTTTTACTCTGTACCATGCAGTACTTCAAAAAAATTGCAAGAAGCCTCACCAGTATCCTACTTTACTTCATGTACTTTCAGAAATGCTCTGTTGCCCTCTCAGCTTGTTTTTGCATGCCTCAGCCCTATAATTGCCCTCCAGCTTGTATGTACATGAACAAATGTGGGAATCTATGGAAACTTGGGCAGTTCCTGCATTTGACATTTAAATCTTTAATAGTTAAACAATACATTGTTCTCTGGATTGTCCAGTGTTGCTGAAATACACACTGTCACCTTTGGTATTGGGATATCAGCCAGGATGGCTTCTGCAGTTCTCCAAGGCTTAAAACCTTTTGCACAGTCTTGTGCAAAAGGCCAGTACAAAGGTTTCACAAGTTAAGTCACTCTGTGCCCCTTTGGCCTCCAAAATTTGTCCTGATGCCATTGTGCCTGAAAACAGGCTTTGGGCTGCCTCCGAGAAGAAAGACGAAGTAAGAAAATGCCCAAAGTCTGAATGGTCAGCAGAAAATAAAAGGCCTGAAGGTTATTTTTTCTGTTCTGTACCCATCTCCCCCTGTACAGTCAGAGACCATCCCCTTCTACTTCCTCTGAGTTAATTATAACTTGCATTGAGTAGTGTCATGGAGAGAGACATAAAAAGCTGCAACACTAATAGTACTCAGGGGGAATTTAGCAGCTCTACAGCAGAACAAAAATCTCCCAGCAAAGAGTTGTGGCAATAAATGAGCCAGTTTGATACCAGTCAAAGTCCACATGCAAATAGATTTATTTGCTCGATATTGGCCGTGCTTTTCCAGGTCCATGAGATACAGATATTCCTGCAGGAAGAATTTCACTTTTAGGCAGAGTGGTAGCATGTTCCTACAACATAAAGCATTCACTGGCCACTACACCAGTGCTGTGATACCGGCATTCAAATGAGCTTTTGAAAATCCGTAAGAGGGATTTGGGTATTGTTTGAGAGGAAATATTTGGACTTACATTTTAGCAGAACTGAGGAGGGTGAGCGAGGGCTGTCACTGCCTCTTCTCCTGCTTGAGATGAGCCAGATCCTATTGGAGGCACCAGTATGAGTGCTGTGGTGTGAGAGCTTCTCTGGCCTCACCAGCTGCACAGGTGAGCTGGGAGCATTGGCAGAGAAGAGCATGGAAATGATGCAAGGAGCAAGGCAAGGCATGTCTCTGGTGCCAGTATTCAGCTGTTCGCATTTCCTAAGTTTATTTATTCTTGTTTAGGTGTCACACAAATTCTCAAGGTCAGAAATGTCTTACCCTATTTGTCTGCTAGAGGGGACCATATGAAGCTGCTCACAGCTGAAATCCCAACCAGCACTTCTAGTTTCTTCGCCTTCATTACTACTGACTTATTCAAAGTATTGTGTTATTCTGGTTGGAATTCAGCTGCAGCCCTTGCTTTTTCTTCTCCCTCTCCAGTGACCTCTCTGGCTCT